TGTTTGGCTCAGTGTATAGAGCGTCAGCCTGCGGACCAACGGGTCCCAGTTCAATTCCGGTCAAGGGCATGTACCTCAGTTGCAGGCTCCTCCCCGGCCCTGGTCGGGGTGAGTGCAGATGGCAACCAATCAATGTGTGTCTCTCACATCGATATTTCTGTCTTTCTCTCTTCCACTCTCTCTAAAAATCAATGGAAAACATTCTCAGGTGAGGATTAAAAAAATAAATTAAAAAAATTAAAGGAGATGCTCTTTAAAAAAAAAAAGCTCACCATGTTGCCTGGCCAGGGTAGCTCAGTGGTTGAACATCAACCCTTGAACCAAGAGGTCACCAGGTTCAATTGCTGATCAGGGCACATGCCCGGGTTTCAGGCTCGATCCCCAATAGGGGTGCACAAGCGGCAGCCGGTCAATGTTTCTCTCATCCATGTTTCTATCTCTCTATCCCTCTCCCTTCCCCTCTCTCTAAAATCAATAAAATACAAAAAATACAAATAAGAAAATAAAAAAGCTCTCCATGCCTATTGCTTCTGTTCACTTTCTGCCCTTTGTGACTTTTGGGGGATACTTTTCAGGGTGCCGTGTGCTGCCCCAAAACACAAGAGAGCAGGAAATAAATGTCACCGGGTTTGGCATGTGGCGGCAATTTGGGTGAGAGGTGGAGAGGACATAAACCAGACTGCAGGGTCTTAATGAGGGTAGCGTGAGCCTGGTACCAAGAAGGACCCAGAGCTGGAGAAAAGGGAACTTGCGGAGGCAGGAAGTGAGAAACTGCTCTGCCCCTCTTCCAGGGGATGCAGCTTACCCCACCGCCCATCTTCCCATCTCAGCCTCCAGGCCTCCGCAGAGCAGCCTGAGGTGCAGGCCAGACAAGAGGGATGGAGAGATGGAAGAAGGATCCCAGATGTGGCAGAGGTGACACACTGCCCACTCGGGAAGGAGCAAGCAGAGTGAGCGCCTCAAGCACGACCCTTCTCGCACATCCTAGCCCCCCTCGGACATGGAGAATGCAAATCAGGCACGACCACTGAACTCTGTCCTTTGACCCGGCAGGGCCACAGCTGACCATGTGCCCTGGAGCAACATTTCAGTGGTCATAAGGCCAAAACTCTTGTGATGGCTCCACGCTGACCCTGGCCATTTTCACTCCGATAGTCTCACAGGGATACAGGGGAGCCTTCATAATGCAGGATGATGCCACCATTCTGACGACCAAGGAAACGTGCACGCGTGAATTCTGACTTCTAATTTCCAATTTCTAACACGCAAGAAACAATGGACATAACCCCAGCAGAAGCTCTTCGTGGTCCTCAATCACTTTGGAGGGTGGACAGGGGGCCTGAGACCAAACAGTCTGAGCGCCCTGCCCTGGAAAAACTCCTGCAACCAAGGGCCCTGACACATTCCACAGCAATGCTGTTCCTGAGAATAAAACCTGGCTTCACCAACCCGGAGCCTGGATCAGAGCACAAGGTGATTGGCACACCACAGCCCTCGTGACAGTTCTGTCCCACACTTGGTTTTGTAAACAAAATGTATTGTGACGCCTACTGAAACAGGTCCATTCGTTTACATACTGTCTGTGGCTGCCTTCCTGCTCCAGTGGTGGAGGTGAGCCGTCCCCAGAGAGACAAATATTTACTGCCAGGCCCTTTACAGACAGAATCTGCTGACCCCCGGCTTAGAGGGCATGCCCTCTAGCTGGGAGCTCTCCATGGGAAAAAGGGACCTTCCCTCAAGCAGCCGGAAGAACAAGTCTCTGCGAGGAACTGTCCTATTTGCTGCCTGACCCTGCCCTTCGGAAAGGCAGGCAGTGTCCTGGAAAGGCCACTACAGCAGGGACACTTGGTAGGTTACTGTGACATGAGTGACCCTTGCAAGGCCATTCCCAGGATATCATTTCAACTGATCTTTCAGACTGACCTTAACAGAGCCTTGGAGCTCAGCAAGGCCAAGTTAGCTGTTTTCCTAAGTTAGCTACAAAACTACTAGGGGTGATTTTGTCCCCAAGAGGACACTTGGTGATGCTGGGGACATTTGTGGTTATCACAACCAGGGGTGCTCCTAGCATTGAGTGGGTGGGGCCAGGGATGCTGCTCAACACGGCACAGCCCCCCACAGAGAAAGACCAAGCCCCTCATGGAGAATGACCGGCCCCCATGGCGGGGGCCCCCAGGGGGACAGGCCCTGAGCTGATTTATTGCACCTTTATTGTGAGCCAGACATGGGCTCATTCCTTCACGTCCATTACCTCACTGAATTCTTACCATGCCACCATGCCGTGGGTCCACAATTAGCTCCGTCCAAACAGAGTCTATGGCCAAGCCTCTGGGACAGGGGACTTGGGAAGATCATGTAAAGCGCAAAGCCTTGTACCTGAGCTTATTCAAGGCTATGCCACAAATAACAGCTATTATTAATTTTATGGGCAGCAAAAAAACAGGCGCCAGATGCCTCTCTCCTTGCCCAGGCTGGGCCTGCCGCCGAGGTCCCTTCCCCCCATGCTCCCTGTATTTCCGCCAATCAAGCGACATAACCGCCAACCTATTCAGCCTAAACAAGCTGCCACAAAGCCCTCCCATATCCTGAAGAAAGACTCAGCTATGTTCTGCTTTATGATCTCAGTCAACCTCCCTGCAGAACTTGAACTGCTTTGCCATATTTCTTTTAAGGGCGGGGAGATTGTGCAGACTCCCTAGAACGTTCTGGAAAACAACAGCTCTCCTGCACCCACTGGAAACTGCACCACTTCCTATCACTATTAGTCCAGTCTGTTTGCAGGCTTGACTTGCTTGGAGCCGTGGCTTGTGTGCTTTTGTCACCCACCCTCCCGTCGATGTCCACACCTCCAAGCCACCAGGCCGATTCCTGGCCAGACAACCTTGGGGAAATTGCATCAGGCTCTGAGGCCTGGCTTCCTTACCCGGAAGACAGAAACAACTGCACGTTCCCTCACAAAGCTGCCTGCCGAGGAGCACAGCAGGAAGGAGAACGGGCCACACTGCGGTAACTATAAAAGCTGCACTGTGTGAAAGCAGCGTTAAGAGTCCTGTATCTCATCGCCAACAGCCTTAAGATTAAAAGCACTATGTGCGTATCTAAGGCACCTTGGTGTTGCTGTCATCATGCTTTGTACTTACACAGAGGTCAGCAAGACTTTTGAATGGATCAAATATTGTATAATGAATGAAGGGAGATAGGGGTTTGGTTATGTGGGTATAGACATTTGTCAGAACTCCAAATGGTCTGCTAAAGACGTGCCTTGATATATACAAATTTTACCTAAAAAGACAGTGAGAACCCCAATAGTGAACTCTACTTAATGACAGGCATGCTGAGTATTTAGGGGTGATATGAACTATCGTCTGCAAACTTACTTTGAAATGCATCCCAAAAAATAAGACATATTGGTGGATGGATAGAGCAAGACAGAGCCGAGTGATAAAAGTGACTACACAAAATAGCAGTGGTAAAACCTAGGGAGGTGTTCATGTGTTCGTGGGTCTTTCAACTTTTCTACATGTTTGCAATGTAAAAATTAAAATGAACAGTGTTTAATAGAATATAAACCTACTGACGTTTTAAAAAAAAAACAAAAAAACGTGTTTGGCACACAACAGGCAAACAAACATACGTGCTTCCTTGAACTTTGTGAGGACTCCATTCAACCTGCCTTTGAACTACACCATGAACTGCTTAGTAGGCACATGCAGGAGGTTTTCAGAAAGGACCTCTGCTGAACAAATCGACTAAGTGGCAAATCACAATCCGTGTAGATGCCACCAAATGAGGCACTTAAGAGGCAGGAGACAGCAGCCCAGCGGAGCTCCACGCAAGCCCTGCCTTTTCTCAACAGGAATGCGACTGCACAGTTAAATCCCCAAGTTTGCAGGATCGGCTTTCCCTCCCCAGGCAGGGCGGGTTAACTCAGATTCTTAAGACATTCAAGTCATCCTATCTCTCACAGGAAGGAGGCTAAAGGTCTTCCAGGGCGCTCCAAGCCCAAGAAATTAATCATCAGGTCTCATTTCAAGTAAGCACACAGGATCCTCCCAACCCCCAAAAATCATGCCCAGGCGCGGACACGGAGTGTTTATTTTTCAATCTAGACACCAGATGGCGGCAGGATCCAGTTCAAAACGCCACAACAACAAAGTCGGGCACACAGCCCAACTGAAGACTTTTAATCCAGTTCAATCGCTACACCCGTCCCTACTCCAGGTCGGTCCCAGCAGACAGGACCAACACTTCGTGCCACCATCTCCCACTCAGGGAAATTTCATTCCCAGGCGTACATCCCCCAAGGACAACTACAAAACTGGAAACCTCCCCCAATGCCACTGGAGAGAGCGTCCCAACTGCGAGCCACCGCTAACGCAGGGGTGGCCATTTTAACTGCTACCAGGGTCGGAGGACAGAGCGCAAAGGACAGCAAGGCCGCAGACCACAGCACCAGCCCCTGCTCATCCGCAGCCCCCGCAGGCCCAGAGTGGCAGAAATTCCAGATTTTCGAGCACCGTCTCCCGCCTCTGAATAAGCTGGTCCAAATTTCTAGAAAACACCCCCTGGGGGGTCAAACTCAAAATAGGTGCAGGCCGTGGGCCACCAGTGTGCGTTTCAAAGAACAACGCGGTCCCTTCCGCCCTAGTGTTTGAGTAAGGATTCTGGGCTCTTCCTTGAAATTCATCGGCTCTCCGTCAGCCACCTCCAACTTCTTTTCCTAGAAATTATTTTGAGGGGCTTCAAAAACAATAAAAGGAAAAGGGAGTGTGAGAAGCCCGAATGCTACAGATTCCAGTGCCAGCTGCCTGCCCAGTGTGTCAGTCTGTGAGTTGAGCCTTTGTTCCTGGCTCAGGCATGGGAGTTTTCTGTGGAGACATGAAGCGGGACCGGATGGGGGGGGTGGGGGGGGACTGAATGTGCTGGTGGCGGGGGAGCAAAGCCTGGACGAGACAGGAACAAAGGTGCTGGGCGGCGGGCAGCCTGCAGGGCGCGTTTACCTGCTTGCCCCGGTAGAAGAGCCTCTGTCGGCCGGGCTCCACGTGGAACAGCTCCTGGATCTTCTCCCGCAGCTCTTCCACCTTGGTCAGCCTGGAGAGCGAGCCCACGCTGTGGGCCACCTTCCCGTCCATGGTGCGAACCTGGATCCACATGATGCCTGCTGGTGCTGCGAGAGCAGAGAGTGGATCCTCCGGTCAGCGCTGCCGCTGCCGCCCCCGCCAGGCCCGTGCCACACTTGGGTCATCCTGGCTTTGTCCAGTGCGAGGACACCCAAAAACTCCCCGAACGCCCTCTCGGACCCCCTGGTCCCCACAGTCGGCCAGAGCTAGCCCGGGGCCAGGCAGAGTAAATTAAAGGAGTTAACGCGTAAATGACTAACACCAGGGTAGCGTTTAGGAGGAAGGGGAAATTAGGGAAGGCAAACGGCCTCTTGATCCACTCAGTCCAACCCACACACCCGCTTCGGAGGAGAGACACCAACGTCCAGAGGAGGAAGGACACAGCCAAAAGCTGAGGGGTCGAGTTCGTTCGTTCATTCATTCATTCATTCATTCACTGAATTAATACTGACGCAAGAGGGAAACCCAAAAGTCCGGCGCAGGTCGGAACTTCAGAAGTCCCTGGGAACTCAACTAAGTGCAAAGGGGAAGAACCCCCCACCCCCAACCCCGGAGACACGCGAGGCTCCGACCCCTCGGTGTCGGCGGCCCCCGGGGCGCGACGCGGCTGGCCCCCGCGGTGGCCATGGCAACCGGCCGCCCCGTCCCGGCCACCCCCGCACACGCCGAGCGTCTCACCTCAGCCCCACCACGTCCACGCGCGCCGGCTCTCGCTCCCCGGACTCTGACTCCCGTCCCCGGGGCCCCTCTTATCCTCCCTCCCGCCGGAGTGGGCCACGCCAGCGAGCCCACGCCCACCCCCACCGCCCGGCCGCCGGAGGGGCCCCTCGCTCGATCCGCCTCGCTCATTGGCTCCGCCGCGCCAGGCCGCCCCGCCCCGCCCGCTCCTCATTGGCCCAGACGTGCCCGGGGAACGAAGGGCGCGCGAAACCGGGCTCCGGCGCGACAATTGAATCGCGGGGCGCCCCGCGCGCAGGCGCGGAGCCTGACAAGGTCCCCCGCGGCTCTCCCGGCCCTCCCCCACCCAGCTGGCGAGACCCCCGCGGGGCTCCGGGGAGGTTCCGCCCGCCTGTGCCTACGTCCGGAATTCCGAAGGCCACTGCCCAGGGCCGACCGAGGTTCCGGCACAGCCGAGTCCGCGTGCAGGAGAGCCCGGTGCCGGCGTGGGCGCGGGCACGCCGGCACCGGTGCGGACCGCGCGTCTCAGGCCGCTCAGGAAAGTTTTGCAAAGTCTCAGCGCCCGGTGTGCTGGGTTTCCCACCTCCCCCAACCCCCTTCTCCCTCCGCCCTCCCACCCCCACCCCCACCCCCCCACACACACACACCGGCCCAGGCTGGTGCCCCAAGTCGCCTGGCCACTCACCTCGCCGGCCGCCCCCCCACTCTCCTGCCTGCGCGCTTGGCCCTGGAAATGGCGATAGAGCGGCGTGTGTGGCCCGGACCCCGCGCGGACGTGCGTGCGACCCGGAGCGCCCAGTCTGCCCACGCTGCCAGCTGCTCTGATTTTTTTCCCGCGAAAACTCGGCGTTTAGAAGTTGTGGGAGGCCACGCAGGGGGCGGGCGCCTGCACGGTGATTGGCCGCTGCAGTGGCGCGAAGCAAGAAAGGGGGTGGGGGGCGCCCCCGCCTCAATCCACCCCCCCCCCCCCCCCCGCTTCTTCCAGCAGGCCACGGCCCCGCCCAGGCCTGCGCGCTCTGCTGGGTGCCCAGCGTACATGGGGCCCAGTGGTGGGACCAGGGTCGCCCCACATGCTGCCCTCCAAAGAGCCCTAGGCACATCCAGAATAGAGACCCCCCCTTGGCCTACTAAGTCGGCTCCTGCAGACCCCCGGGCCCCCCACCCCGACCTGGGCACCATTGACCAGTAGGGCAAGGAAGGCTGGAATCAATGTCACCACTGCAGGAGAATGTGGGGGGCCAACCGGATGGACAGGCTGATTGCCCCCAGCCCCACTTCCTAGCGTCAGGGCCCGCCGGCACTCCCACTCTACCCACCCATGAGACTTGTTTGTTTGCTGGTTCCCCCACGTTCCCGCTCCCCCCCGCCCCCCCCCCCCCCCGCCTCTTTTTCCCGCCTTTTCCGGGCTGTCCAGGCGAGAAGGGCTGCCCTGCCTGCTCTGCTCTGGCCAGTCTTGGCGGGCATCCATGCTGGGCACCTACAAAGCGTCTGGAGGAGAGCTCGGAGCTAGGGGCCCAGCAAGTGGGCAAGGCTGACCCTGTGGGTGGTCTCCAGGAGGGTACATTTTTATCTGAGGAGCCGGGCAAGAAATGGATAAATGAAGCAGATCATTTCAGACCAACAGCTGGAGAGTGGCCAGTGGCCTGTGGGGGTGGGGAAGGAGGATATTCTGGGTGAGGTGGAGAGGTGGGCCTCTCTTGGAACATGACATTTGAGCTGAGATCTGAGAAGAGAAACCAAGGACAGATGGGTTCAGGAAGGGAGGGCAAGCTCAGAAACAGGAAAAGGCTGAGAGGTGTAGGGGGAGCTGCAAGGAGGCCAAAGTAGCTGAACAGACACAGCAGAAGGGAGGTTAGGAGAGGGTGAGGTCAGAGGGGTGTCAGATAAGACCTCACAGGCCACCTGAAGGACTTTGGTCTCTTGGGAGCAGCAAGTAGCACGGGAGGGCTGTGAGTAGAAAAGTGAGGAGTTGCCATTTATGCTTTTACAAGGTTTCTCTGACACTGTAGAGTCCATTCCATCTTAGCACTGGTACTTCTGCTTTGATTTTCCCGGTGTTGACAGAATCCTGCCTCTCCAAAGATGCCCACATCCTAATCCCTGGGACAGGTGAATAGGATACCTTCCATGATAAAAGGGGCTTTACAGCTGGGTAAGTGAAAACTCCTGAGATGGGGAAATATCCTAGATTATCTGGGCTGGCCCAATATCATCACAAGGGTCCTATTAAGTAGAGGAGAGAGGGTCAGAGTCAGAGAAGAGATGTGACAACAGAAGTGGGGTTTGGAATGAAGAGGCCAAGAGGCAAGGAAGGTGGGAAGCCTCTAAAAGCTAGAAAAGGCAAGGAACAGATTCTCTCTTAGACCCCTAGAACACAGTCCCATCAACTCCTTGACCTAGCTCCTTAAAACCTGCTTTAGACTTCTTACCTCCAGCACTGTAAGAGAATTAAGTTGTGTTGTTTTAAACCACTACATTTGGGGGAATTTGTTATAGCAGCCATAGAAAACTAATACACTCCAATACACAAAGTCCAGATGCTGCTAACTTTCTCTAACTTCAGGACTCCGTATTACCAAGTACATTTCTGAGGGCTCAGCATTCAGCCACGTAGAGGCCATGTCACAGGTGGGAGCAGGTATCCATCAGGCCTACTGGAGCCTGTTTAGCAAATGAAACCTTCCAAATGAAACCTGCTGCAGGAACCTGGCCTGCTCCTGCTGAGCACATATCATCTGCTGAACCTGCTGTTGCAAAAACTCAGCACGCCCAAAGCGGTAATACATTCTTTCTGTACATTTGATACAGGGCACAGCCCAGGCTCCTTGGACATTTGAAGTTAAGTAACACAGAAGTACTGGTATCTGGCTTTTCCTGCAGAAAAGTTCACAAGAACTGGTGACACAGATCCCCATTTCTCTAGTCATTTGGAGAGAGAGGGGTTGCTTGGGTTAATTAACAGACATGGATAAGCTCTTGCCAGTTTTACTCAGTGATTAGCAGTTGTTCTCAACCTTCAGGCCCTTTAAATACAGTTCCTCATGTTGTGACCCAACCATAAAAGTATTTTCGTTGCTACTTCATAACTGTAATGTTGCTACTGTTATGAATCGTCATGTAAGTATCTGATATGCAGGATGGTCTTAGGTGACTCCTGTGAAAGGGTCGTTCGACCGCCAAAGGGGTCGCGACCCACAGGTTGAGAACCGCTGGATTAGAGGGTCAGCCTGCGGATCAATTGGTCTCAGGTTCAATTCCCCATCAACAGCACATACCTTGGTTGAAGGTTCCCCAGCCCCAGTAAGGGTGGGTGCGGGAGGCAACCAATCAATGTGTCTCTCATGTTGATGTTTCTCTCTCTCTGCCCCCCTTCCCCCCCCCTTCTGTCCTCTCCCCTCTCTCTGGAAACCAATGGGAAAAATATCCTCAGATGAGGATTAAAATAAATAAATAAACTAGGCCTGGTGGCTCAATTGGTCAGTGTTGTCCCAATGAGCCAACGTTGTGTGTTCGATCTCCAGTCAGGGCACATACAGGAGTCAACCAATGAATGTGTGGATGAGTGGAACAACAAATTGATGTTTCTCGCTTTCTCCCTTACTCTTTCTCTTTAAAACACATTTTTTTAAAAAAAAAAGATACTATGCCAAGTTTCTCCAAAAGACACTTACAAACCCTTTAGGGTGACAATATGTTGATGTCCACAAAAGACATCATGTACATTAAAACAGCAAAGATGATGAATGAGGCCTTCCCAGAGTCTGGAGAATGGACACTTCCCAATGCCTCTTTTGCTTTAGTGTCACTCTCACTTAGGCACCAGCCCACGTGCCAATCAGGAATAACCACTAGAGTACAAAGGACCTCAATTTCCCTTTTGTGAAATGATACACTCTTGAAGGTCAGTAAGATGTTCGGCAAACTTTTATTGCCCTCCCTGGTCCAATCAGGTCCTGGATCCAGCAGACATTGGTGGACACAACACTTACTGAGACGAAGTCCCGCCCTGAAGGCACTTCCCATCCAATGGGGGAGACAAAGGCATAAAGGGAAATGTCAGTTGTGCAGGGAGACGGTTCTTCATGGTGGCATCCACGTGTAGGTAGGACCACACAGTGCTCTGAGCACCTTCAATTCACATCAGATTTCATGTCCTGGCCACATCTTTAATCTTTTTTCTAACACAGAATGGGATGAATATAGAACCATTAAAATGAAAATGATTGCCCTCACCGGTTTGGCTCAGTGGATAGAGCATTGGCCTGAAAGGACCCAGGTTCGATTCCAGTCAAGGGCATGTACCTTGGTTGCGGGCACATCCCCAGTAGGGAGTGTGCAGGAGGCAGCTGATCAATGTTTCTCTCTCATTGATGTTTCTAACTCTCTATCCCTCTCCCTTCCTCTCTGTAAAAAAATAAAATATATTTTTTAAAAAATGAAAATGATTGTGTCTGACCCCAGAACAGTGTGTGGATCCTGAGGCGCACACAGCAAATTTGGGGGCCATCAGATGGGGCAGAAAATACCTCTGGGCTCATTTGCTGTGCCTCTCCATCTGGACATAGAGCTCACACCACCTACCTCAGCAGAGTGGCTGGACCAACTCTTCCCACCCAAGGCCCCTAAACCCCTGGCATGATGATAGGGGTCCCCTGTGTGACCGGAATGTTGGCGCCTTATGGTTGTTTTTTGTTTGCTTGCTTATTATTTTCTAGGAAAAGGTGTTATTTTCCAGGCTACCATTTTACAAACCAGTGAGGACTCTGGGATTCCCAAGCTGCTGCCTCCCTTCCTCCTGGTCACTGGGGATCCCTTCCCGGAACCCTGGCTGGATGATGTCACAGACAGGTGACCTCACTGAGGCCAAGGAACCCCGGCATCTCCGTGGCATGGAGGAAGGGGGAGGATGTTTCCCCACCCGCCCAACCCTCCATGTCTGTGGTGAAGTGGATCGAGTTAGTGCTGCCCAAGGATGCGATCTACCTGGCCGGCTCCTGCATAAAAGGGCAGGTGATTCTAACCCTGAACAGCACCCTGGTGGACCCCATTGTGAAGGTGGAGCTCGTGGGAAGGGGTTACGTGGAGTGGAGTGAAGAAACCGGGGCATCCCGTGATTATAGCAGAGATGTTATTTGCAACAACAGGGCCGACTATGTACACAAGTCAAAGAAGTTCCCAGTGCAGGGTAAGGAGGAGGCCAGCAGCCAACCCTAAACATAATAGGAACCTGGGTCTGGAAGGTAAACAGATGTTAGTCGGTCAGCAAACCCCGGGGATGTCAGAAATGGGCAGAGACGTGGCTCCTCCGTAGGAGGGAATCCCTGTAAAACAATGACCATCAGATACACGAAAATAAGATCTCAGGAGCTGGTCATGGAGGCCTTTCCAAAGAGGTGACAACAGAGCACAAAGATGAGTGACGGGAGGGACACGAGCCATGCAGACATCTGGGGGAGGAGCAGCAAGATGCCAGATCTTAATCCTCAGCAATCATGTGGCCCCTCTGGGTCCCCATTTAGCCATCCGGAAAATGAAAATAACAAGTCCTGCCTCGTGAGATTTCTTTGAGGGCTTAATGATTCAGTGGCTTAGATAGTGCGGGGTATACAGTAAGTGCTTGATAAATGTTAATTCTTTCAACCAAAACACTCACCTGCCCAGTACCACCCCAGCATTAGGCACCACCCCTCCTTCCCCATTTCCAAGAGACTGTATTCCCCCGCAAAAGTATCAACCTTAAGCCTGCAATAGGTTCATTCATTCATTTCACAAACATTTAGTGAGCACCTGCTGGACACAACACTGTGCCAGGTGCTGGGGATACAACAGCGAAGAACACACACATGGTCCCTGGTGTCGTTGGGTTGCCTTCAGGCGGGAAAAACACAATCATAAGAGAGTTTTGGAGAAATGCAAAAAATAAAAAATAAGGTCACAGAAATGGGGGCAGTGTGAGTTTCTCCCTGGTCCTCAGTCTCCACTCAGTCCATCAACAGATATTAAGCACCTACTGTATGCTGCTGTTCACAGTGCACTGAAGACTGAGCTCTGCGAGGGCAAGGAGGTGTGGCTGCCTTGCTCACTGCAGCAAACACTGCCTAAAAGAGCCCCTGGCATGTAGCAGGGGCTCAGGCTGTGTTTGTTGAATGAACCCCTCTCATTCCCAGCAGAGGAATTCAGAAGCCATGTCCTCCTGGGGACTGAATCATGAGGACCAGTTCCTCAGACCCAAGGCAGAACTGAGCGCGTCCCCACCATTGTTTTGGAGCAACCACCCCAGCCCCGTCACCCACCTGGGGCATCCCCTTTCAGCCCCCCTGAGGCCTGGGCCTGATATTTATGGGCCACTCAGGTCCCTAAAAGCACCTAGCTCAGCCGAGCTCTGGGACAGGCAGGCCAGGCCCCGAACAACCTCCCCCACCAAAGCAATAACTAAAGAGGAAAACAAAATGGAAAAAGAAAAAGAAAAAAAAAGCTGCTAGAACCTTCTGATGGCATCGGTGTGTTTTGCTTTCAGATAATTGGTTAAGTGCAGGCAGCCACACCTTTGATTTCCATTTCAACTTACCTCCCAGGCTCCCTTCTACCTTTACCAGCAAAATTGGCCATGTCTTCTACTTCGTGCAAGCCTCCTGCATGGGCCGGGAGCACATTCTAGCAAAGAAGAGAATGTACTTGTTGGTTCAAGGGACTTCGGACTTCCCCCGAGAAAACCAGGTAGGAATGGGGAAGGAGCCCTGGTGGGGCTGGTTCCTCAAAGCTCCAGGGCGGCAGGGGGCGTGCGTGCGACTGAGGAGGCCCTGGCAGGGAAGAAGGGAAGGGTGTTGGAGGCTCCCGGGCCCAGTGAGTGCACAAGTGTGAATCAGAAACCAGGGCAGGAACTACGCAGTGCAACTCGACCGGGGTGATTCACCTGGGCAATGTCTGGGGACATGTGTGGTTGTCGCCAGTGGGTGTGCTCCTGGCCTTGGTGGGTGGCCCAGGATGGCCCCCCACAGAGAATGACCAGGCCCCAGTGTCCTGGACCCTACAGTACGTGAAGACTGATCTGAGGTCCCCTGGGTCAGAGAGAGACTTGGACACTCAGTGACTCGTCCTGGGCTTTGAGCCCTCAGACAATGCAGGTGGTGTCCCCCCTCCCCGCAAGAAGCAAGGGAAGGGGGCGGCCTCCATCCCAGGGGAAGGGAGGGCATGTGGCACCAGTCTGCCTGAGCGGAGAAGGATTTCTGGGTGGTTTCTGGAGGCCCAGGTGCAGAGGCGGAAGTTAAGCGGGTAGAGGACCGTTGACCACAGTCACTTCACCTTCCTGGAGCCTCATTTGCTACCAGCGTTGGCGGCTCAGGGAGCTGGCATTTTCATTTTTGAGGTCCTGACTAAAATCCCAGACTCCACCCCCTCCCCACCTACCTGCTGTGTGACCCTCTAGAAGTGACCTTGCCTCTCTGGGTCTCCTTGTCCTCATCTGTGAAATGAGCAGAGAGCCAGTGCCTGCCTCCTAGTCATGGAGGGAGTAATGAGTGAAGTTGATGCAAGTAAGTCCAGGGCTTCTCAGAGAGCCTGGCAAGGGGCAGTAAATCGTGTCACTGTTGCCACCACCTGTATTGTTATCTGTGTAACAAGGGGGTCCTTTCTAGTCCAGCCAATCTCACGGGATGGTTTTGGGAGGCGGCCAGGAGAGGTCGGTGCTTGGAGGGGTGGGTCAGCCCTGAGATGAGCAGGTCGGAGCTCAAGGCCTGCTTAGTCCCCTGCCCCCTGTGTGACCTTGAGCAGGCCATGTCTCTTCTCTGGGCTCCCTTCAGAGGCAGTCTGGAGCGCCAAGGGAACAAGACAGGAGCTGGGGACAAAACACTGGTGTTGGGTCAGACCTTGCTTTATATCTCCAACACCAGACTCTTCATTAGCCAGATAGCCTTACCAGCGCCTTGCAGAGCCTCTATTTTCCTGATCTGTACAATGGGAATAATGAATAATAATAATAACAGCAACACTTCCCTCCGTGGGTGCCTGTGAGGACTGCTATGCACCAAGCACAATGCCTACACATAGGAGGCACCCAGGAAGTGGGAAGAGCTAAAATCGCTATCAGAGCAGCAAGGAGAGTTATCACAGATAAGTTTTGAGAGTCTGAAAATACTGTTTTTTCCAACTACTCAGTACTGTTTTAACCAAACTGGTCAAGGGAGGCCTCCTGGAGGAGGTGACATTTTAGTAGAGAATTGAAAGGGGAGTGGGGGAAAGCCATGGCAGTAGAGTGTTGTAGGCAGAGCACACAACATGTGCAAAAGTCCTGAGGCAGGATAGCGTATATGAGGCAGGCTGAGGGCAGGAGCTGGGGGGCCAGGGCAGAGGCTACTACGCTGATTCAAGTAGAGGCATAGTCCTAACCCCCAACAGTCTGTCCTTCTCAGAGCAGACAGAGGAAGTCAGGTGATGACCTTCCTCTGCCCACAGCCCTCCAGGGTGCCTACCCTCCTTGGGGGAAAAGCCCAAGTCTTCCCCACGGCCCACAAGGTCCTGCATGACCTGCCTCCATTTCCTCTGTGCCTTCATGTCCTCCCTCTCTCTCCACGTGCGCACCTCCCCTCCGCCTCCACCACTCTGCTCCTGCCACATGGGCCTCCTCACTGCTCCTCCAACACACCAGGCACAGTCCTGCCCCAGGACCTTTGCACAAGTTGTTCCCTCTGCTCGGAACACTATAATGTGACCTTGCTATCCTTCTGATCTTTGCTCAGAAGCCATGTCTTCATCCACCTGCATTGCCGATGGCCGAATAAACAGCCACAAGCTATGCAGGGCAACTTCGCTACATCTATCCATATTAAAACGAACATGCACTTTGCCCCAGTCATTCCCCTTTTAGAAATTTCTCCTACTGACGTTCTTTCACGTATGTGGCATGACTCCCCACGGCATTGTTTATAGTGGCAAAAAAATTGGGAAGTCTAATGTTTGTTGCTTAGGGAATTGTTTGCGTAGGAACACCCAGGCAAAAAGACACATTCTATGGAGTAAAGCAAAAGAGACAGACGGACGATGACGGAGTGAGGCAGCGCCCCTGGTCAGGATCTCCAAGTCACTGGACTGAATGAAAAAAGCAAAGTTCAGGACAGCAGGTCTAGCCTGCCACTGGTGGTGAAAACAAATTACTTCCTTGCAGGAAGGAGAGCAGAGCAACTGGCCACAAACGCTGCCTTGTGGGAGGGAGTAGGGGAGCTGGAAGCAAAGAAACTTTTCCCCTTCCACCCTTCCACTCTTTATTTCTAACAGCTTTATTGATATATAATTCTCATACCTTGTAATTCACCCACTTAAAGTGTACACAGAGTTATGCAACCGTCGCCACAGTCGGTTTTAGAACATTTCATCACCCCCAAAAGAAATGCTGCCCCCCCTCGCTGTCACAGCCAGCCTCCCTCTGCCCGGACCCCAGCCCCTGACAACCACTAACCCACTCTCTCTGTGGATGTGCCTGTTCGGAACATTTCACAGAAGTGGAGTCACACGCTGTGCGGCCTTTGTGTCTGGCTTCGCTCACTGGGCGTCATGTTTTCAAGGTCCCTCCGTGTTGTAGCGAGTGTCCGTGCTTCACTCCTCTTTAAGGCTGCATCAGTGCACGGTGGGCACCCATTGATGGACACTTGGGCTGCCTCTTTGGTGACTGTCAATCGTGCTGCTGTGAACATTCAAGTACAAGTGTTTGTGGGGCGTGAGCCTTCCTTCCTCTGGGTGGCTTCCTGGAGCGGAATTGCTGGGGCAGATGGTAAGGCTGTTTCACCTTCCGAGGAACTGCCTGTTGTCCGCGGCGCCATCTTACCTTGCCACCAGCAATGCACAGGGTTCCAATTCCTCCACATCCCCTCCACTCAGCACCATTTGGGAGAGGAGCTTGTCCTAGAGCCCCTTCCTAACTAGCAACCCTAAGGAAACCCCCTTTTTTTGCTCCCCTTATCTCATTATGTCCCCCATTTGCATCCCATCGCAGCCTCATCACTGTCTCAACCAGAAACGACGTGGTGTGTTTTCACACGTGCCATTTACATCCACCTCCTCAACCAGAGCAGGTCTTCATCGCTATGGGTTTTCCCTAAACTTGGCACCAAGTAGATGCAAATAAAACCCAGTTGAATGAATGAGCCCACCTCCCACAGTGTCATATATGCTAAGGAAATACAGGGTTCCAAAGAACTCGCAGGTCTAAGAACTCCAGTGTTGGCTCTGCATTGGAACTGTTACTGGTCAGGCGTGGAGGTCTCCCGGACCACCGCTGGCTGCTCTACACACCTCCTTCAGGGCCAGGACAGAACTACAGCCCCGGCCCTGAGTTAGAGCAGGGAGCTCCTTAACACGTGCGTGCGGGGTCCTAACGCATGCCACGCCATTTCGAATAACAGTAGAGGGATTTAGAACCTAAACTCCCCTCAATGAGCCTTCCTAGGGAAAGGGAAGCCTGTGAAGGCTAAAGAGAAGTAGGGCCACAGGCAGAAGGCAGGAGCTGAGGTCCAAAGGGGTCGGGGGTCACCCGAGGTCTCCAAGAGGAGACACAGTGGACCTAGAACAGTGCTTTTCAAATCGCAGATCCTGACCCATTAGTGCAGCGGTTCTCAACCTGTGGGTCGCGACCCCTTTGGCGGTCGAACAACCCTTTCACAGGGGTCTCCTAAGACCATCCTGCATATCAGATATTTACATTACGACTCATAACAGTAGCAACATTACAGTTATGAAGTAGCAACGAAAATAATTTTATGGTCGGGTCACAACATGAGGAACTGTATTTAAAGGGCCAGAAGGTTGAGAACCACTGCATTAGTGGGTTGCAAAGTCAATTCAGCAGATTGCAAACACATTTCTGTAAAATGAAAGAATAGGCAAGACCAAAATTAAGAAAATATCTACGTTGTGGGGTACAAACACACACACACATATATATGTATATGTATGTGTATGTGTGTATATGTATATGTATATGTATGTGTATATGTATATGTATATAATCATTTTTATATATGAAGAAAGAACAGAGAATAAAATAAATAGAATAGAAATATCAAAAAAAGTCATTTGGTGGGTTGCAATCGACTTCAAGTGAAAGAATAGAATAGAGTTTTCCAGAAAGAAAAAAAAAAAACTTGGTGGGTTACAACTAGCTAATTTTTATAAAAATTTTTGTTTTATATAAAACAAAATGATAGACTAGAGTAAATGGACTAGAAATAACAAAAATAAATTCAAAGGCTTGCAACCAACATTTTTTAAATAAATCAAATAGAGTAGAACAGGAAGCAGAAGTTCATAAACTTGCTTCTCTTTCACCGATCTAGGTGGAGATGTACATACAGATTTCTATTCTTTGCCTCAATGTTAAAAACCTATGTTTTAACTGTGTTTTTTTAAAGGAATAATATATTATAAATACTGTATGTGGCTTGCAAAGTCTAAACTATAATTATTATCAGTTCCTTTACAGAAAAAGTTTGCCAATTCATGCCCTAGAGAAACTCATGTTGTAAGCCCCCAAAAATTGTCTTCAGGCTGCTCCTTCTAGCATTTTTATGATATCAAACTCATGGAAAAATAGAAATGTCCATCATAGGAGGATGAATAAATTATTTTGCAACACACTCAGTTGCATTCCTAAAGACTAATTAACCAGAATGGCAGGCACCAATGTGAAGGCATTTCAAACACAGAATATTGAGCTGGAAAAAGCAACTTGCTAGGAGACATGTGCAGTTTGACTTATTTAAAATATGTAAAAAAAAATAGATGTATTCCTAAATAATGTGAAAATTCTCTGAGAACCACAAATGCCAAATTCAGATCATGGCTGGCTGCACAGAGGAGAGGGAGCAGTGAGTTGAAGCCCACAGAACACACAAGATTTCAGTATAATAGGTAATGTTTTATTTCTCAAACATATTGGAAGATACATTTTAGGTTTTTGTATTATTATTTTATTATTATTATTCTTTATATGCCTTTTCCTAAAACAATATATCTTAGTTAGGTCCCTACACATACACATGTGCAGGTAAAAGAAAGTGATTATTAGAGCGTTGGCCTGCGGACTAAAGGGTCCCAGGTTCAATTCCAGTCAAGGGCACATGCTGGGTTGCAGGCTCGATCCCCAGTAGGGGGTGCACAGGAGGCAGCCAATCAATGATTCTCTCTCATCATAGAAGTTTCTATTTATCTCTCTCCCTTCCTCTCTGAAATCAATAAAAAAAATATTTTTAAAAATCATAAATAAATAAATAAAATTCCGAATTGTTGTGCCCTGGCAAGTGTGGCTCAGTTGATTGGGCATTGTGCCATGCACCAAAAGGTTGCCAGTTCGATTCTGGTTCAATTCCGGTCAGGGCACATGCCCAGGTTGTGCATTCGATCCCCAATGGGCAGGAGGCAGCCAATCGATGTTTCTCTCTCTCTCTCCCTTCCTCTCTCTATAGAAATCAATTTTTAAAAAAATTAATAAAATAAAACTCAGGATAGTTGCATTCTGGTCATATATGAGGAACTTTGGAGAGGGGGGGAACTGGCAAATTCCTACTTCTTGACTTGGGTGGCTGTTATAAGAGGGTTGGCCATATAATAATTCACAAGGTTATACATTTGTTTTGTGAAGTTTTCTGTATCTGAGTTGTATTTTTTTTATAATGTTTGGGTTTTTTTAAAAAAAATGCATAGATACAATAAACCCCAAATTCAAGATAATGCTTACCTCTAGGGAGAGAAGAGGTGATGCATTGGGGAGGGGTCCACGGGGGCTTCAATGATATTGATGATGTTTTATTTATTTATTTGTTAATCCTCATCAGAGGTTATATATTTTTTTCTATTAACTTTTAGAGAGGTGGGAGTGGGAAAGAGAGAGAGAAACATTGATGTGGCAGAGACATATTAATTGGTTGTCTCCTGAATGTGCCCCACTGGGGCCAAGGATTGTACCTGCAACCCAGGTATGTGCCCTTGACCAGAATCCAACCCACAATGCTTTGGTGTAGGGGCTGATGCTCTAACCACTGATCCCACCGGCCAGGGCTATTTTTATTTTAAATTGTGATAATATTACATAACATAAAATTTGCCATCTTAACCATTTTTAAGTGTACAGTTCACATAGTTGTGCAATACTGATGTTTTATTTTTTATTATTATTGATTTCAGAGAGGAAGGGAGAGGGGGAGAGAGAGATAGAAACATTAATGATGAGAGAATCATGATCAATTGGACACACCAAGGATTGAGCCAGCAACCTGGGCACGTGTCCTGACCAGGAATTAAACCGTGACCTCCTGGTTCATAGGATGACGCTCAACCACTGAGCCACGCCCACCAAGCCTGGTGTTTTATTTCTTCAGTGAACAGAGCTCTGAAACAAATCAGGAGAAGTCCTACCTGCTGATAAAGCAGGACATGACAGTGCTGTTCTAGTAAATGATTAACAACCTGCTCTGGTGCAAGACAGCCCTAATATGTAATGTTCGCCAATTTCCATGGTGTAAATACTCCCGTCATAGTCAATTTCAAGTTACTAACCTCATGCCACTAATGGGAAGTTTGAGGGGACTTTGCAAGCATTTGTAACACTGTTCTCGATCACTTTTATGCTTAAAGGGAATAAGCATGCAGGCAAATTCTAAACCCGCCCACATTACATCAAGTCTCTTAAATATTATCCACAAATCAAAAAAAATGTAACTCAAGCCACACATTAAATATAATGTATATGTGACTTTATTTGCAATCCAGCAGCTGACGAGTAGATATAAGGGCTGCATTTTGAAGCATTTATTTTAACACATTACATAATTTCAACCCTATAGTTTTCTTATCATGATTCAGAGCTCATCATAGTTCCTCCTTAAATCTGAGCAACTTGGGTAAGCCTTAGTCTTGGGCTTAGACCAGGGGTGGGTAAACTTTTTGACTCGAGGGCCACAATGGGTTCTTAAACTGGACCGGAGGGCCGGAACAAAAGCATGGATGGAGTGTTTGTGTGAACTAATATAAATTCAAAGTAAACATCATTACATAAAAGGGTACGGTCTTTTTTTTTTTAGTTTTATTCATTTCAAACGGACCGGATCCGGCCCGCGGGCCGTAGTTTGCCCACGGCTGGCTTAGACTCTAAGACAGTCCCTTTTTCCCAGAAAACCATGGCTCAGAGAAGTCAAGCCATTTGTTCAAGTTCACACAGCAAATGAGTAAGGGAGCTGGGGATAAAACTAGGATCTGGTGGATTCTTAGCCCTATCTATATATATAAAAGGTTAATATGCGAAGTGTCCCCTCAGGGTTCAACCTGGAGACTGGGAGTTCGATCGCTCGCTATGACATGCGCTGACCACCAGGGGGCAGCGCAGAACGAAGGAAGGCCCCGGCTGGAAGGCCCCAATTGGCCCTGATCACCAGCCAGGTCTAGGGACCCTACCTGTGCACAAATTTCTGGCACTGGGCCTCTAATTTTACATATAAAGAAATTGATACTTAGAATGGCAAGGGCTGTGATTAAAGGAAGCTGGGAGGTGACTCCAGGCTTTTGGCTGCAACATCCCTAAGATTCTAGATTCCATCTCCATGCCTTTGACTAGGAAAGTCCCAAAAGGCTCAAGCCTCAGAAGTGCTGAAATAGTGGGGCGTTAGGCAGATGAGTGGATCGCGTGGCCACAGTGCCTCACAATGGTTCATTTCCCCCAACCCCACCCCTTCTAGAGTCCCCTGTTTGTGGAGACTGAGAAGAAGGTCTCCTACAACTGCTGCAGGAAGGGCAGCATCTGCGTCCAGATCCAGTTGGAAAATAACACCTTCACGCCAGGGGAGCGGGTCCTCTTCACCACGGAGATCAACAACCAGACCAGCAAGTGCATCAAGACGGTCGTCTTCGCCCTCTACACCCACGTGCAGTACGAGGGCTTCACGCCCAAGACGGAGCGGCGGTCACGGGTGGAGAGCTGCGAGCTGCTCCGGCAGGAGGCCAACACCCAGATCGTACCCTTCGACACCACCAAGATCGTCAGCATCTTCAACCTCCCGCCGGTTCTGTCTGTGAGCAGCGACTTGCAGGAAGGCGAGATCATGAGCACCCAGTACGAGCTGGTCAGCACGGTGCACCTGCCCTGGTCCCTGACCAGCGTGAAGGCCAAGATTCCCATCATCATCACCAGCACCGCCCTGGACTCAGACAGCTGCCAGAGGCAGGAGTGGGCAAGGCAGTGTTAGCCATGAGCAAGGATTGCCAGAATTAAGTGCCCAAACTTCTAAATAGAAAGAGCTTTATCACTCTACCAGCGGCCCTTTCTTTGTCTTGCACAGATGGGTTTCACATGAGTCTGGTGTGGGAGCACATTATCTAAACCTCCCCAAGCTCCAGCCTTTTGGGCATCCACTTCTCCCATCCCCAGAAAGTTCACTGCCAGGAGGGCACAAAGGGAACTGACAAGCCGTCCAGGGCCCCAGCTCCATGTAAATATATATATATATATATATATATATATATATATATATATATATATATATATATATAAATTTATTAATTTCAGGGAGGGAGGGAGAGGGAGAGAGAGATAGAAACATCAATGATGAAAAAGAATCATTGATAGGCTGCCTCCTGCACGCCCCACACTGGAGATCGAGCCCGCACCCCAGGCATGTGACCTGACCTGGAATCAAACCCCAACCTCCTGGGTCATAGGTTGATGCTCAACCACTAAGCCACGCTGGTTGGGTCTCCCTGGGGTCTTTGGTGCCTGGACCAGGGGTCCTCAGCCAGGGGTGGTTCTGTCTTCCAGGGGACACTGGACCATCACTTGGGAAGGGGGTGCTTCTGGCACTAAGTCATTGGGGCTTAGGGGTGCTGCTCAGTAACCATAGTATCCAGGAAGGCCCCAACCCAGAGACTGACCCACCCAAATGTCAGGAGTGTGGAGGGGGAGACCCTGGGCTGGAGCAATTCAGAGGGGAAGGTGGTTGTTGAGTCCCAGGACTGCATCTGCAGGCCTCTTACCCACATCAGCTCCTGCCCCTCCTCCACTCAGCCCACCTGGGCTCCAGGGCTCCCCTCAACCAAAGTCCTCCAAGGCCAAGGGCATGCATATCCGCATGTCCAATCCATCAGCAAGACATAGGGGCTCCTTCTCCTACGTCTACCCAGAATCCTCCCATTTCTCTCCACTTTGCTTCCATCCATCCATCATCATCGCTTACTTGGACCAGTGCAGTCACCTGCACCTGGATCTCCTGGCTCCTGACCATGTCTCCCTCCCAGGATGCCCACTTCAATTTGAATTTCAAAGGGACAAAAAAAAATTTTTTAGCATAAGTACATCCCACACCATTCCTGGGATATGCCTTTGTTTTAAAAGCCTCATTCAGGCCCTGGCTGGTTTGGCTCAGTGGATAGAGCTACGGCCTGAGGACTGAAGGGTCCCAGGTTCAATTCCAGTCAAGGGCACATGCCTGGGTTGCAGGCTCAATCCCAGTAGGCAGAGTGCAGGAGGCAGCCAATCAGTGATTCTCTCTCATCATTCATGTTTCTCTCTCTCTCTCCCTCTCCCTTCCTCTCTGAAATCAGTAAAAATATTTTTTAAAACTTCATTCATCCCTGGCCCGTGTTTCTCAGGTGTTTCTCAGTGGTTAGAACATCGGCCACATACTGAAGGGTCTTGAGTTCAATTCCCAGTCAAGGGCATATACCTGGGTTGCAGGTTAGATCCTCTCCCTGGCTGGGGGTTTGGGGTGCGGTTAGGAGGTTGGTGTGTGTGCGGGAAGCAACCAATCAATGTGTTTCCCTCACATAGACGCTTCTCTCTCTCTCTCTCCCCCCTCCCCCTCCCTTCCACTCTCTAAAAATCAATGGGAAAATTATCCTTGGGTGAGGATTAACAGAAAAAATAAAACTTCATTGTTTGTCTGATATTCCAATTTAACTGGGCAGCCTGGATTTTATCTGACAATCCTATTCCCCAAGCAACTCAAGGATTCCCTACACAAATCAGGCCACCTCACCCTTTGACTTAAAACCTCCATCAGGTCCTCACAGCAATCGCCTTGGCCAGCAAGGCCCTGCATAGTCAGGAATAGAGGAATGGGCCAGAGTGTGTTCCCTTTGGCTAATGACTAAAATATTTCTCCAGGCAACCACAGGCCGCAAAATACCCACACTCGCCTCACCCATGATTCAGGCAGGAGGCATATACACTTGAATAGCAGCCCTCCCCAGCCCTTGGAAGATTCCCAAAGAGCAAGTGGGTAGCTCCAACTGAGTCACTGTTTTAAATAAAACTGTGTGTGTGTGTGTGTGTGTGTGTGTGTGTGTGTGTGTGGAGGGGGGAGACAGAGTGAATAGGATGCACAGATTTATTTATTTTTTTATCTTTTGGGGAGGTCGAGGGAGAGGCCCCTCACAAACACATTCTTAAGATATCTGCAAAAGCTAGTTGCGGAGGGGGGGGGCGGGGGCGAAAGGGGGGGCGGGGGCTGGCTCCCTGGTGCTGCTGGACTGGGGTGGGATGTGCCCCTGCCGGCCTGGGTATGTGATCTTCCCTAGGGTGTCCTCATCTGTCTGTTCCGCTTCCCAGAAACTCACAAAAAAGCTTTTTTGGGGAGGAAGGGGAGATGGGGATGGCCCTGCTTGCCCTAATGTCCTGAGCCCCAGCCTGAGATCCTCGAGGCTCCGCGGCCAAGTCTGGGCCATTCCCATGTCCTCGAACCAAGTCCAGAAGGGCTGTGTTCTTCACCGCTGCAGAGCCAAGGCCCAGTCCCCTTCCTGCATCTCATCCCGACCACCTGCACTGCAAAGGCCTGTGTCTTGCTCTGCTCTGTGCCGGGGAACTGAGCTGGGGGAGCCATGGCAGAGTCCTCCTCAGGCCCCGCACCACCCAGCCCCAGGTGTTTGTAGAATGGAGTACAGTTGCCCCTTGAACAACACAGGTTTGGACTCTGTGGGTCAATTGAAACAACCTGCGTATAAGGGGACCCTTGAAGTTCAGACCACATTGTTCAGGGGTCAAGTACACAACAACGGCATTCAGGACAGGCAGCATTTCAGGCACCGTGGTCAGTCATAAGTCAGCGGGTGAATGCCCCTCAAGGGGCGCGGCATCCGTCAGGACGGGGGCACCTTTGAACCAGAAGCAGGCTTCAGATTTCGTGCTGGGTTGTTCCACCTCACTATACTATCCCTACTTCTGCTTTAGAGCAAGTGATTTCTCCTCTCTGAGCCTCAGTTTCCCAATCTGTAAAATGGAGAGGACAGTAATAGCCATCTCTAGGGTTTGGAGGACCTTGTCACCTCACTGTCCTTGTCTTCTTATTATCTTAGGCTTTTTATTTGGAAAAATCCCAATCCTATGGAAAAGAGCTGAAAGACCGATACAATAGACACGTGATCTCCCCACTCTGTTCTCCATGGTTGGTATTGACCATTTTCCCCTTTTTCTCTTCCTCTGTCCCCCTAACCCAGTGGTCGGCAAACTCATTAGTCAACAGAGCCAAATATCAACAGTACTTCTTTAAAATAGACTCGCCCAGGCCAAAAACCGACTTCTGCGCATGGGCCACGAAGTTTCAATCGCACTGCACATGTGCCCGCACGTGGCATTTTGTGGAAGAGCCACACTCAAGGGGCCAAAGAGCCGCATGTGGCTCGTGAGCCGCAGTTTGCCGACCACGGCCTAACCGCTTTGAAGTAAGTTGCAGCATCATAGCACTTCACTGCAGTGCTCTGCGCTCCAACCCATATGCTAAGAATCAGAAGTTTCTCCGAGGAAACGACAGGACCATTCTCACTCTCTGGGCTTTCACAGGGGCAGCACCGCCATCTCAGGTCTGTGCTCCACATTCCCATTCCCCACTGTCCCATATATCTGTATCGTTTTAGTAAAATATTCAGTACATAAAATTTACCCTTAACCATTTTAAGTGCACCGTTCAGAGGCAGTAAGCACATTCACATTGTTCTTTTTTGTCGTTTTTCTTGTTAGTCCTCACCCGAGGACATTTTTCCCATTGTTTTTTAGAGAGAGTGGGAGGGAGGGGGAGAGACAGAGAGAGAGAGAAAAACATCGATGTGAGAGAGACACATCGATTGGTTGCCTTGACCGGAATCGAACCCGGGGCCCTTCAGTCCACAGGCCGATGCTCTATCCACTGAGCAACCCGGCTAGGACCACATTGCTCTTTTACCAGCACCACCATCCATCCCCAGAACTTTCTGATCTTCCCAGACTGAAACTCTGTCCCCATTAAACACTAACTCTTCATTCTCCTCCCCCGGGCGCCCCACCCGCCCCCTCCAGCCTCTGACTCCCACCATCTACTTCCTGTCTCTATGGATCTGACTCCTCTAGGGACCTCATGTGAGAGGAATCACACAGTATTTGTACTTCACTGAGCATAAAGTCCTCAAGGTTCATCCATGTTGCAGAATCTCTTTCCCTTTAAGGCTGAACAACATTCCAGTGTGTGATGGGGACCACATTGTGTTTACCCAGTCATCCATCCATAGACATTGAAGTTGTTCCGTCTTCTGGAATTATTATTCTGGTGAATAATGCTGCTATGAACATGGGTGCACAAATAAGTATTTTGGGGACCCCACTTTCAATTCTTTTGTGTGTGTGCCCAGAGTGAAATGCTGGACCATGTGCTAATTCTATGTTTAATTGTTGGAGGAGTTGCTTTACCATTTGCTACAGCAGCTACATTATTTTACATTCTCACTGAATATATCTTTTATAGTTGGGACTTTTGGGGGGAGGAGTGGCAAGGAGGTGGAGACAAATCCAGGCTCCAATAGGGATCACACATTGCTTCTTTTTTTTTTGGGCACACTCTTCGGCTCTTTTTTCATCTAGAACATTCCCCTTGCCTTGTTGTGTGCGTTCAGGGGTCTGGGCCAGTTGTCTTATAGAGTCACCCACAATCTGGTGTTTCCTCCTGATTAGTTTCAGGCTGAGATTTCAGAACTGATACTGTGTTCTCCTCAGTGCATGGTATCAGGAGGCACATGATGCTGCTTTGTCACGTGACTAGTGATGTGATCCTTGACCACTTGGTTGCAGTGGTGTCAATCAGATCTCCGCATTTTAAGTTCCTTTTGCCTTTATAACTAGAGGCCCAATGCACGAAATTCGTGCAAGAGTAGGCCTTCCTTCCCCAGCTGCTGGCACTGGCTTCCCTCTGGCACCTGGACCAGGCTCCCGTCACAGCCCCGACTTCGTCCGGAAGGTCATCCGGTCTAATTAGCTTATTATGTTATTATTATTATAGATTAATAAGCAATCTGTGACCACCTTGTCTCTTACAACCTTTCATCAGGTGGGTTTTGTCTCCATGGGTGCCCCTTGCTTGAATCAGTTATTTCACTGGTGGTTGCAAAACAATGATTTTTCTAAACCTATAGATTCCTTCTACATCTGCTACCTGAATTGCTCTGCAAAGAGGAGCTTTCCCTATACCACCCCCACCCCACTACCTCCTCACCCCCATCATCTTTCTAATCTCTGTCCAGCATTCCTTAGAGCTGATCGCATCCTTTTCCCTCAAACATCCTCTTCCCTTGACTTCCCTGATGCCACACCCTTCTCATTCTCCCACATCGCAGATTTTGGATTTGGGGCTTCCGCTTCCTTCTAAGACACAGCATCAAAGACTCCTCTTTCAGGAAGCCTTCCAGCCATGACTGGCAGAACTACGGCCCTTCCTCCTCTAGGACCTGAAATACACATGACCTTCAAGGTTTATTTCCGCAGACACCCATATTCCACTGTTTGATCAACATTTTGAATTCTGGAAATGCTAGGCCAAGGGCACTGAACTTGGCTTGAAATATTTGGAGTGTTTTTCTTTGTTGATGGGATAGAGAGTGAGGATTTGATAGAATAGGTTTGAAAATCATTCCACTAACCCTGTGGATGGAATAGAGTTGAGAAAAAACATGGGAGTAGAAATATGTTCAGGAGCCCTGACCGGTTTGGCTCAGTGGATAGAGCGTCGGCCTGCGGACTCAAGGGTCCCAGGTTCAATTCCAGTCAAGGTTCAATTCCAGTGGGGGGTGTGCAGGAGGCAGCTGATCGATGTTTCTCTCTCATCGGTGTTTCTAACTCTCTATCCCTCTCCCTTCCTCTCTGTAAAAAATCAATAAAATATATTTTTAAAAAAAGACTAGTTATAAAGAGAAATAAACCAATACACATAAAGTTCTTTAAAAAAAAAAAGAAATATGTTCAGGAAGCTGCTAGGTCTGAATAATAACAGAAATAACGAGGACAATAATAATACTGTGGCACCAACAGGTTCAATGTCAAAATGTTTCCTTCTGGGCACAGGGCTAGACTACATTTCCCAGCATCCCTTGCCGCAAGGTGAGGCCACGTGACTGACTTGGCCTCTGACTTGGAATGCAAGAGGAAGTGGTATAACTCCCAGTCAGATCCATTAAAAACTTTCCAGAGGTGTCTTGTTCTTTCTTTCCGCTTTTGCCAGCTGCTTGGAGAGGCCTGGAAGAGAGCTGCCCAGGAAACTTGATCTGCACTTGATTGTCACATACAACAAGAAATAAAACTTCATTGAGTAAACAAACTCCACTGAAACTGAGATTTGCTTATTCCAGCTATTGGTCTACCCTAGGATTTCTCCACACATGACATTTGGGGTCAGATGATTATTTTTATAGGGGAAAGTCCTGTGCATTGTAGGATATTGACCACCATCTCTCGCTTTTACCCACAAGATGCCAACAGCAATCCCCCACCCTGCCCCATCCCAGTTGTGACAACCAAATATGTCTCCATACATTGCCAAGTGTCCCCTGGGTGGGCAGAATCACCCCCAGTTGAGAGCCTCTAGTCTATTCTTTTAGCTACATTTATGGAAGCCCTTGGACATGGGCTCAATGTGGCCACAGCTCAGCCTGTCACCCCATCTTCTCCCATCCCTACTTCTACCTGCTTCACCCTTCGCCCTCAGCTCTCCATTGCACTGAAGGCCCCACCTAAGGGTTATTACTGACCTTTTATTCTCCTTAGTTCTGTTTGTGTTACTTCCTAAATAATAATAATACTTTTTAAAAAGTATTTTTTATTGATTTCAGAGAGGAAGGGAGAGCGAGAGAGAAATAGAAACATCAATGATGAGAGAGAATCATTGATCAGCTGCCTCCTGCACGCCCCACACTGGGGATCGAGCCCGAAACCAGGGCATGTGCCCTGACTGGGAATCGAACCATGACCTCCTGGTTCATAGGTTAATGCTCAACCCCTGAGTCATGCTAGCCCAGCTATTATTATTATTATTATTATTATTATTATTATTATTGGAGAGAGAGGAAGGGAGAGGGAGAGAGAAACATCGATTGGTTGCTTCACACACTCACACAACCGGGGATGGAACCCGCAACCTGGGTATGTCCCCTGATCAGGAGTCGAACCAGCAACCTTTTGGTACATGGGACAACAACCAACTGAGCCACACTGACCAGGGCCTAAGTAATTATTAAACCTATTTCTCTCCACCTCCCCTGCCACTACCTGAATGCAGGCTACCCTCAATGCATGCCTGGACCTTTCAGGTAGCCTCTCCCAGGTGGCCCTGCTTTCACTCCTTCCCTCCACAGTCCAGTCTCAACACAGCAGCCAAAGAGAGAGCGTTCCAAAATGCATTTACAGGCTTGACTGGGGCTGCAGGAGCCGCTTCCAAGATAGCTCCTCACATGGCTGTTGGTGGGAGGCCTCGGTTTCTTGCCATAGGGGCTTCTTGAGCGTCCTCACCACATGGTGGCTGGCTTCCTCTGGAGGAAGTGGTCCAAGACAGAGAGAAAGGAGGCCGGGCACTGAATGCCTTTTATGCCCTGATCTCAGAAGTGACAAACGCAATCACTTCTACCATATTTTGTTTGTGGGACACAATTCACCAAGTTCAGCCCACATGCCTGAGGAGGAGAATTAACCTCCACCTTTAAAAAAAATGGTGGATCAAAAATAAAAATAAAAAATAGTAAAAATTTGTGGATCTATTTTTTTCTTATTATTTTTAATCTTTACCTAAGGATATTATTTCCATTGACCTTTAGAGAGAGAGTGGAAGGGAGGGAGGGGGGGGAGAGAGAGAGAAACATTGATGTGAGAGAGCTACATCAACTGGTTGACTCCAGCACGTGTCCTGACTGGGGCCAGGGATTGAACCTGCAACCAAAGTAGGAGGCCTTGACGGGGAATCGAACCCACGACCCTTCAGTCTGTGGGCCGATGCTCCAATCACTGAGAAACTGGCCAGGGCTGTGGATCTACTTTTTAAAAACACATTTCTCAACCCATTTCTCGGCATAACCCATTGGCTCCACCTTCCAAATCCTTCCAGATTCTCAACCTTTACATTGTTGCTATCCCGGTCCGGCAACCTGAGTGTCCACTGCTGGATGGAAAGATACACACAATGTGGTCCATCCAGACAATGGAATGTAACTCAGCCTTAAAATGGAAGGAAGTTCTGACTCCTGCTACAACATGAATGAACCTTGAGGCCATTATGCTCAGTGCAACAACTCAGGCACAGAAGGACAAATACTGCATGACTCCACTCACTGGCGGTCCTAGGAGAAGTCAGATTTAGACAGAAAGTAGACGATGGGAGCCAGGGGCTGGGGAGGGGAATGGGGAGTTCGTGTTTAATGGGGACAGAGTTTTAATGTGGGAATATAGAAAAGTCCTGGGAATGGGTGATGGAGATGGTTGCATAACAATATGAACGGTACACTTAAAAATGGTTACGTTCCATTTTATGCTGTGTGTATTTAACAATTTTAAAAAACTTAAATAATAATAGCATCCAACCATTATATAGTACTTACTGTGTCCCAGGCACTGTGCTGTGATATATTGCCTCATTTAACTCTCTCCATTGTCTTTGAGTTCAGGACAACAATCATCACTCCCATTTTACAGATGGGGCAACTGAGGCTCAGAGACATGCAGTGATTTGCCCAAGTTCTCACAGCCAGAATTAGAGCCCCTAGCCACAGTACATACCACTTGTGAACCACAGAGCCTCTCGTTGTTACTGCTTCAGCTAAAAAGGAAGGGACCGGTCACAGAGATGCAATGCTGAGGCAGGTGGCATCGCTGGCCCGCGTCCCTGGACATCAGTTCCGAGCTGGGATGGGGACCCAGGAGTGTCCGAGCCAGTGCAGCCACTGCAGGCTGGATGTGTGAAAAGGGACTTCTACCCCACGAGGCAGAGGAGCTTGTGCTGACGTTGTAGGTTCGAGCCTCCGTTTACAGCTTCGCTCTGGGCCTCAGTTTCCCTTACTGCAAAGCTGAGGAAAGCGCCGTGGAAGCAGCTAAGGACAATGGGTGCCTGGGGGACCCAGAAGTCCAATAAAGGCTTTTGAACCTCAGTTTCCTCATCAGCATGGAGGTAATATTCGATAAACATAACTATTACTGTTAATGCTATTACTTTTTCACCTCTGCAAGACGCTACATTGGGGGCTGGATTATTTCCTGGGTGGGGCCATCCTGGGCACTGTGGGGTGTTGAACAGCATCCCTGGCCCCCATGCACTTGGAGCACCCGGTAATCAGGACAACCAAAAACGTCTCCGGACACCCCAAGGACGCCAAGGACCGCCTTGGCTGGGACTCCTGCTCACGCCACAGGGTTGGGAGCCTGTGGTGAGTTAGTCTATCTGAGAGCAAATGCGAATGAGAATCCCAGCTCCGTTCAGCTGCTGTGTGACCTTGGGCGTGTCCCTTGTTTCTGAGCTTCAGCGATAGCCGATCCCTCCTGAAGAACCTGGGATTAAATGAGCCAAAGTCTATAAACCTTATCAGCCAAAGTAAGCGGTCACGGCACTCACCGCAGCTGGGGTCTTCTGGAAGATTCGGACCCACAATCTCGGCCCCTGCACCCTCCCCGCCGGCTGCCTCCTCTCCAGGCCCAGGTTCAGGGCACCACTCAGGCGGGCGTTGGGAACACTTCCTGTGCGGTGGCCCGTGGTGCCCACAGGACCAGGTGGGCCAACCAGAGAGCACAGCTGGGGCCGTCCTACTTCCTGCCCCCGGGGGTGCCTCTCACGCTCCCTTGCCTCCACCCCCAAAATAACATATCCCCCCCACCCCCCCATTCCCCAACCAAAGCGACCAGCACCAGCTGCAGCCAGGCACACAGAACCGGCAGGGCCCGCAACTGCCACCACAAAGCCTGCCCCGCTGGGAATGTCCTCCCCTTCGCCCATCTCCAGGGGATGACCTGGCCTCCCCCCGCCCCCCCTGGTCTGAGACTCATGAGCTCTGAGCAGGCAGGGCTGGCTGGAGGAGGGGCCTCCTTTGCCACCCTGGAGGACAGGGGACCCTCTCTGGCCAGAACTCCTAGATCCCAGGTGCCTCCCGTCTTCACCTCAAGACACTCTTTGGTGTGGGGGGGAGGGCTGGTTGCCAGGACAACAGCCCCCCATCTCTGCCTGGGAACAAAGGGGCAGCCAGGAGAGCCAAGAACTGCGTGTTCTTCCCCTGCCAACGTGACTGGCACGTCCCGGCAGTTGGCACTCGTAGGGCCGTGTCCTGAGTCTCCGGGCCTGGCCACCCTAGACAAGGCTTTCAGTGTGGGGGGTGGTGGCTGTGGCCTGGAGGGACCTAGTTCCTGGTAAGCTGCCCCTCGGCCTCTGTCCTTCCGGTGCCTTCTGACGAGGAAGTCCGCCCGCTCTGCCTCCCGAACTTCACTTTAAGGCCAGGGGGCCTCAGATGTCTGGCCGGGAGCTGGATGGGCCGCCAAGGCCAGGAGAGGAGGGTGGGAGTGGGGAGAGGGAACAAAAGCCCCATGGAGACCTTCTCGCGGCCAGACCCCTGGCCTGGCATCTGGGGCTGAGGGTGCCCAGTAGGACCCACCTCGCCTGGAAGGGCTGGCCCAGGGACAGTGTGTCTTAGCACATGTCCCCTCCCCCTCCTCCAACCCAGGTGACCGGGCAGGAAGCATTGGACAGCTGGCGCCACGAGGGAGGGGCAGGGTGGGGGAGGGGCTCAGAGTGGCGCAGGACACAGGCCAGGCCAGGGCCTGCCTGTTAAAAGACCCAGCTTCCTTGGCTAGCAGGCCCGAGGAGACAAAACCTTGCCTCCTGGCTATGGGGCAGCCGCAGCCGGCCAGGCCGTCCCCCACTGGCTGGGTCTGTGGTGCAGGGGAAGACATGGGCAGGCCTGTCATAGCTGGGTTTGGGCCACCAGAAAAAAATACAGGACACATAGGTAAACAAGTGGTTTCTTAGCATACGTGTGTCCTTTGCAATATTTAGGACAAACTTCTGCTTACCAGCATTTTTTGTGTATCTGGAATTCGCATGTAACTGTGTCACAGCATATTTTTATTTGATAAGCCTGCCATCCTAGGCCAGGGGCTCTGGGAGAGGCAAAATTGGGCTCACCAACATCCCCCCAAACTTGCCCTTCAGCTGGTCCCAGCCTCAGAGATGGCCCTGCTGTCCCCCTCTCCCATACCCAAGGGCCCCCAGCCAGAGGCCCATGTCAACCTCACCTTCTGAACCATGGCCTGTCCACTCTTTCTGTCTGCAGTCTCTCTCTCATCTGCCCCTCTCCCTGCACACCCTGCTATGAGACCTGAGCTCCCACCTGCCCCCCACTCTACTGCTCTTCCTTGCTTAGCTCTGCTGTCCCAAAAGCTTTCTGTTCTCTCAGGACCCCAGGCATAGCCATGGCCCCCACCTGAGTCAGGTCCTGTCCCTCCATCCTCAGACGTCCAGCACTCCCATCTTCCTCCTGGTAGAAGCCCACGTCCTCCCTGCTCTCCCAAGGCCCTGTAGGACCTACCTCAACTCCTCCCTGCCCTCCCCTTTCCCCCGCCCCCACTCACTCTGCTCCATCCACACGGCCTCCTCCCTGTCCCTGCAACAGGGCAGAGTCCTACCCCAGGACCTTTGCACCAGCTGTTGCTGCTGCGTAATGCACACCTCATCCAGAGAGCCACTTAGGTAGTTCAGCCACCTCCCTCCTGTAGGTCTCAGCTCAGGTGTCACCACCTCAGTGAGGTCTCCCTTGTCCACCTTATCTGAAAATCACAAACTGCCCGACTCTCCATCCTCCTTTCTGCTGTAGTTTTCTCCACGGCTCACGCCACCTTCCAATAGACTCTAATGTGTACTTTGTAGTTTTCTATCTGGTCCATCTCCCTCCAAAAGGGCAGGGGATGTTCTCTTCCTGGGTCACAGCCAAATCCCCAGAAGGGCACACAGGAGGCACTTAATAAACACTTCCTCGCCGAAACCGGTTTGGCTCAGTGGATAGAGCGTCGGCCTGCGGACTGAAAGGTCCCAGGTTCGATTCCGGTCAAGGGCATGTACCTGGGTTGCGGGCACATCCCCAGTGGGAGGTGTGCAGGAGGCAGCTGATCGATGTTTCTCTCTCATCGATGTTTCTAACTTTCTATCTCTCTCCCTTCCTCTCTGTGAAAAATCAATAAAATATATTTAAAAAAAATAAAAATAAATTAAAAAAAATAAATAAACACTTCCTCAAAGAACCAACATCACGGTGTTGGAATGTCCTCCTACACCCCCCTTCCACCTTTCTAAGTGCTACCCTTCTTCAAGCCTCACCTGAGAAAGGTGGGCTTGTTTTCCTTTTCCAGGTCTTTCCTTCGCAGGGCCTCCACAGGGAGGCCCAAGAGATCTTTCGAATGTTCCAACCTGTCTTCCTGACTCTGCTCTAGAGTCTTCTGTGGCTCCCCAGTGCTCTCAGGACTCTGTCAGTCTGGCCCTTTCCAGCCTAACTCTAACTCCATCTCTCCTCCTTGACACCCTGGCCCCCACAGCATTCTACCCTCCAGCCTTATCTGTACCTTCACACTCTCTGATCCCTCTGCCTGAAACAGTTCTTCAATCCCTTCACCTGCCTGACCCCTATTCATGTCTTGGGCCTCAGCTTAGACATCACCTCCTCCTGGAAGCCTTCCAGGACTTCCCATCCCCCACCCAACTGGGTCCAGCCCCTCCTTTGGGCTCCACCATGCCTGTGCACCCACTTCACAGCCCTGATCACTCTCTATTTCATCCACCTGGTCACCAGAGCCAACTCACCACCAGACACAGGAGACTCAGGTTCCGCAACACTTTTGGGGATGAACAAAATGGTTTTATTTTAATTTCTCTGAAAATCAGGAAAAAAAAATTAATAAAATGATACCAAGGCAGCTGTAAAAGGTAATTTGTAGCATTTTTTTTCATGGAGGGAGGGACCGGCGTTGGCAAAAGTGCCCTGGGCCCGTGAAGGTCTTACTGTGGTCCTGCTGGTCCCATGTGTGTCTCCCCACTGGACTAGAAGTGCCGGGAAGGCTGAGGTGGACACCAGGTCGCCAGGGCTGCCTAGCAAAGGCCTGGCACACAGCAGGTGCTTAATAATTGTTTGTTGAATGGGTGAAAAGCCAATGATTACTGGGTCCTCAAGGCCAGGCCTGGTATGGCGTACACATAATAGGAGATGCTTGATAAACGGATGAATGGACGAGGCAAGGGTCGGAGGGCAGACAAAGGACACCTGGACCAGGCAGAGACCAATCTGGGGCCAGCAGCGCCACCTTGTGGCACATTGCTAGCCTGCTTCTCCCTCCACTACACTCAGTTGAAAAGAACTGAAGTTTTCAGAGTCCTCCCACTGGAAGGGGTGGAGTGGAGGAAGAAGGAAAAGGAGGGAGGAGGAAGAGGAAGAAGGAGAGAGGGAAGAGCCGGGGGAGAGGGAAAAAGCGGGGGAGGAACCGGAGGAAGGGCAGGAACCAGAGAAGGGGGTATGAGGAGGAGGCAAAGGGGCAGCAGGCAAAAATCTCAGAAACAAAGACTTGGAAGACAGACAACTCTGGGTGCCAATGGAGGTATGACATCACCTTTCCTTGAGGGCAATACCTGTCCAGGAGCCCCCAAGGCTGGGAGATGACAGATTTTCCATGAAGACATGGCTGGGGCAGAGAAAGGGAAATGGGTTTAGGACGAGAGCTGTCAGATTTCTCGAAACCAACAAAATAAAAAGGATGCCTAGCTCCATTTGAATTTCAGATCAACAATGAAGAGATGTTTAGTATAAGTATATCCCAAATATCACATGTGATATACTTATAGCCCCAAAAGATATTCATTCTGAGTGTGAAGTGAACTGGGCGTCCTGTATCTTACCTGGCAACCCTAGCGTGGGGGAGACGGGGGAGGCAGGCAGGAAGGCTTGCAGGAGGACAGGAGGACGGGGCAGTGGTGGTGAAAGCAGTGGTGCAGCTGCCTTTTCCTGCCCCTCCTCCACCACAGGTGCACATGCTCAATGGCAAATGTCCTTGACTTCGCTCGCTGGGGACTGGAGGGTGGGGGTTGAGCCCCACACCAAGGAAGGAGAGGAGCAAGACTCCTTTTTTTAAAAAAAATATATATATATTCTATCTACTTTTTACAGAGAGGAAGAGAGAGGGACAGAGAGCTAGAAACATCGATAAGAGAGAAACATCGATCAGCTGCCTCCTGCACACCTCCCCCTGAGGATATGCCCGCAACCAAGGCACACGCCCCTAACCGGAATTGAACCCTGGATCCCTCGGTCCACAGGCCGACGCTCCATCCACCGAGCCAAACCGGTCAGGGCAAGACTCCTCTTTTTGTTCAGAAGGAGGTGGGGCAAAATCACTAGGACATTATTTTCCAAATCAGAATCAGGTTACAAGCCCTTGACCAGGAACATTTTGGCCACGTCCCACCACTGAAGGCCACTCAGAAGCTGAAGACTACCAATTACTTATTTATTTATTTATTGAGAAACACAATTTTACTTTATTTTTAAAATATGTTTTTGTTGTTGTTTTTAGAAAGGAAGAGAGAATGGAAGAGAGAGATAGAAACACCAATGAAAAAGAAACATTGATTGGCTGCCTCTTGCATGCCCCCTACTGGAGATCGAGCCTGAAACCCAGG